TGAATCTCATCTCCACGGCCCGATGTGCGTTACCCGACATTTACTCATTCATTTTACACACAATTCACGATACACATATTTTTTTCATTTGCATCGCTATGTAATGCTTCTAAACATCATCTGCGGCAGAATTAGAAGAGATATAGCTGAGGATGGAGGTAGATTTCGGACACCGGTACATACCGTGAGAAATCAAGCTACCTACCATCTTGGACTCAGAGTGAAAAGGGAAAAGGAAAGCTCGCGAGAGAACGTCGTACAGAGAGATTACGGAACGCGATGAGTCATGTGACTGCAAAGGCGAGTCCGGATTGGTCGAAGAACAATCGTGCGCTGGCCTGGCGCACCACCGTGACCGCATACAGAGCTCTCGGAACATATCTAAACTATTTTAAGTGCACTTTTTGTTGAAAGTCATTCTAAAACGCGTTTAACTAAACAAATAAATGAACATGTAGGGCATATACTCAGCTGCGCGGTCTGTCGTAGCTACATAACGTTTAAAAGAGGGTGATTGCAAGGTACATGAATACATGTCTTTAATGTAATCTTTAATGTTATGTAGAGAAATTACATTTGCAAACGTTTTTTTTTATTATTTTATTTTTTTTCTCAGCAAATTTTAATGACTGGTAGGCTAAGGTAAAATTACCACTAAGACAGAAACAAAGATTTTTACTTTTAAGCAGCTGAAAAAAACGTACAATTGACTTTTGAAAGATAAGCCACAGTGTTTTCTTTCAAAAAAAAAATTATAATGTATGTCCCTGATAAATAAATACATTCAATACATGCAATAATAATAATAATATCATTGTAGTTCCCCCATCATATAGTAACCAAATTCCTATTGTTTTATTTGAAGAAATCTATAAACTCTCTCTCTTAGATTGAGAATGAAATTCAATTTCATTTTCTGAACTCTGCTTTTAGATCTTTTTGTGAACGATTCATCTGTGTACTGCCCACATATCAAAATCCAATCAACAACCGATGCATAGAACCAAGTCCCTTCTTGTTTGATATGCAGTTTTACTCCAATTTTTGTCACAATGTTGAAGTAAATATCTTTCGCTACCACCGTTTCATCCCAAGTTTAATGTTTCTAAAAGAATACGCGTGAATGGGGTAAGAAATAATGTATGTTTATTGTGTAGTAATTGTAGTAATTTAAATGATTAATTAATTTGTGGTTTACCCACTCCAATAGAATGGAGTCAAGCTAAATTATTTGTTTAAATCGCATAAAATTAAACTTCAGCCAGCTTTAATGCATCCATTATGTTTAATATGTACATAGTTGCATATGCATGTTGCATATGTTGATTTAAGAAAGTTAAATGCAAAGCCAAGCAGCTGCAGAATAAAGCCTAAGTCAAGAAGTCACTCTTCTGTTGCTTGAAATGACTTAAGAAGACAGTCCAGCCAAGAGCAACTCCAACAAAAACAGTGCGAGCCACCGGCGGGATCAGCGAGAAGTTCACAGCCTGAGACATGAGAAAATGAGGAAACCTCTTACAAACAGAATAGATGTATGAACGAATGGATGGACTACTGTAGTACCTGCATTGTTGACCAATAGCCTACACTACTCCAGTCTACCAGAGAGAGAGAGAGAGAAAAAAATAGTCAATCAATGTGTCAGAATTGATCCTGAACCTTTAATATTTACATTTATGTAGAATAGTTCCTGTGTTCCTTGTGTTTACCTTATAAGAGGTCCAGAATGTATTTCTCCAGTCTTCAAGGGGATCCTCTGCACCTTCCAAAGTGCTCAGCCCTTTAGAAGTGTAATAAATGCTGTAAAAAATTTCCGACTATGAATTCATTCATATGCACAGATTTATGTTTATGCATTGATTTCCTTCAATTATATAAGTGGAAGTATGATAAAAAAACCTCTGGTTCTCACCAATGTAGAAAGCACTTATTGTCATAGGGGCTGCAAACAGTTGGTCCAGAAACACTTTAAGTGACACTCTTCTGATCCCTCCTCCTGGAAACATCCTCTCCAGTCCCCGTAGACAATGGTAATTGAAGTTGGCATGGAAACAGAACCCAACCAGCGCCACCCGAGCAGTCTGGGCCCAGTCGATGCTGTCAAGCTGTGGAGCATGTTGCATTGGATCTGATGGTTTATTTTCTTCCCAAGCTTTTTTATTTCCCTCTGATTCACTTATTTTGCTATCATCATCTGTCTCTGCTTCTCCAGCCACAGTAAATCCCTCAGCGGATGTGTTGGCGGTATCTTGTCCCACTCAATCCAGTACTGTCCCTTTGTCCTGAGCTTTTCCCATCATGCTTTGCTGAATGAGGTCTGCTGTGGCAAAAAGCGTTGTGTATCCCACCACATTGGAGATATGGATGGGATTTGAACAAAGCCCATGCTCTGTTCATGATGACTACTAGACAGGGATGATAAATATTTTAATAAACTGAAGTATGCACATTGTTTTGGCCTGATCTACAATAAATGTCATTTCATCCATTTTTGATTTTTGAAATTTTTTTTTTTTTTACAAATGACGATATGATAGATGATAGATAGATAGATAGTTAGATACACTCTAAAAAATGCTGGGTTAAATATAACCCAGCGCTGGGTGCTGGGT